GCTTTGATATAATCTCGCGTAGCAATCAATACCCCGCCTCCATGGCGTCCATTGAGCTTTCGGTCCCGTCTAAAAACCGTGTAATTAGCTGGAAATATTTCACCGTCTGGAATTGAGCTGTCCAGATGAGTTTCAGTTAAAACAATTATATCGTAGCCCAGAGCAGCGATGGCCAAATCAAGCTTACCCGTTTTATTTACAATGCTTCGTGCATTAGCGTAAAATGTTAGAAGACGAGTAGACTTTGGCTTTTCTATAGCATTATGCTGTTGGTTACCATTTGGACCAGGATTCGGGTTTATATCGCCGCTCAACTGGAGAAGAATTATTCGATATCTTGCAACGGAGTTAGGATAATAACTAATTCTCGACGAAGAAAAGCCCTTGCTGAGAATTGATGAAACAATATGGCGCCTATCCCAAGACGTTGTGATGAAATTAAAGTTCTTTAAAACTATAGCATCATCTTGCGGGGCCAAGACGAAGTCGTCAGCTTAATGCGAAAACACTTGGGATTGGCCTAAATCAGCCGCTATTCCGCAGTATAGGAGAAGTAAACCCAATATAAAACATGAAAGAACGGAGCGTCGAAATAGACGACCGACCGCCATGACACACATCGCACTTTGGTCTTGCTCCTTTCTCACTAAGAAAATGTCTCATTCACCTTCACCTTTGTCTTCGAGCGAAAGTTATTACAGTCACGGCGAAAGTGAACCAAAGAGCTTTCCTGAAAAGCCGTTGCTCGAAATAGGCGGATACGATGACTCTGTGGAGCCGGTTCCGACCGAAGAAGACGCTGCATTGTATCTTGAGCAGCTTGCCTTGGAAGAGGAGGACGAGCAGATTTTACTAAGTCGTTTTTCCGGGGAGGAAGACATCGGAGATTGGTATGTATTCCGTGTTATGAAATACAAAAGCTTTCACAATACGAATCGAGAGAATAAAACTGATCGAATATGTTTACTGAGTCTCTATAGTTCTACTTCAAAGCAAACCGCTTTGAATTTGCAAAGTTCACCGTAAGCATAGAGATATCAACAAGATGATCCAAGATCATAAGTCAGGCTACAGGTAGACATGCTGTTATGCATGAAATTTTTTTTCATCCCTGAAAGACACCAATTCCACAACAACACACTGTCACACATTTTTGGCGCAATACCCTAAAAGGTATCACAGGACCTGCTGCTGTGGACATTTTGAGGCTAAACAGCCTAAGGGGTACCAAGTCCACCTTTTTTAACCCATAAAAGGTACAATGAGCACCCCAGTCCTTTTTTTAAGGAGTTCCCCTTCCCAAGGGTGATAAGTACATGCCAATTGATGCGTGTGTTAAAAAAGATATATTATGAAATTGTAATCGTAATGGTCTGAAAGCAAGGAAGTATATTTCATCGTGAAAACATTGTATACACAGCATACCAGTAAGGACCTTCCCTGATTTTCTCTTTGAATTAATTAAGGCAGACATCAATAGTTGGGATTGCCTCACTCTTGTGCTGTTGTCTAACTTTGAATTTGATTTTGTTCCTAAAATATATCTGTTGCAGTCTTTTCATTTTTGGAGCCGGTCCTAAATTATCATAACTATATATTCATCTGTGCTTTTGCATGTGTCTGATTTGACGAAGGTCCATGTTAGATGTGCAAGACAAAAATTGCATTTCATAGTGAATAATACCTGTTTTAAGTTTCTTTGTAACAATGTTAGAAATAGCTTGTACTAATGATGGTATACCACTTATTTTTATTTGTTTATTGCAGGTTCACAAGTATCTTCATAAGTCAAGGAGAACATGTACTTTGCTCTGACTGTTTGTTGAAAAATAAAAGTAATACCTAACAGTAACTTGCAAGCCACAATAAAAACCCTGTATTTCCCCTGTAGTTATCGAAAATTAAGTTTTCCAACTTTCTTTTTTGTATTATTTAAACCACTGGACAACATCTCATAGCTATGAGCTTTAATTTGGACTGATATCTCAGCTCCACAAATATTAAGACTCGTGTATAAATCTGCCCTTTTTAGATGCCTGTTGATGCCCATGTTATGATATAAATTATTTCCTCAGTCAGCTATGCAACATAGGGTAATGGAATTCTGATAACTACAAGACTTTGCTACTGGGTAACACATTGTATAAAGCCCTAAAGCAGAGCATTGTTTACAAGAGCAGTTGTGTTCTTCTCTCAAACAGTTCACTGCAGTTATTTCATATGCACTTATCTGCACTCCTCTGAGTTCACAATTGTCATTGAAGGAGTCTATAGTCTGGAAATACTGTACTAAGCCCTGAATAGATGGTACTTCTAACAGTACACATGTACCTGAGGGATGGCTTCTACCATATTTGTCTCTTGTATGAGAATCAAATATCTTACAACTCCCATTATCAGTACAATAGATACTGACACTGTTTACATTCTAATGTCAGAATAAATGAAGAGTAATTTTGTGACACAAGTGATTCAAAAGTCCTTTCTGTAAACATACTGT